AAAAAAAAAAAAAAAAAAACTAACTTAAGGCTAAAGAAGAGTTGAAAAAGAATAAATAACTCCTTTTAATGAAAATAAAAATAATTTAATTCAGTTTATCTTAACTAAGCTCCTATAAACTAACAGCTATTTGGTTAAAAGATCAGGAAACATGGTCTTTACTCTCAATTACCTGCATTCTCAAAAAAGGAAAAAATATTTTAAAAACATTTATAGTACTATAAATAGTATAGCAGAGGATAGAAAAGTCCATTGTTTTCAAAATTTTAAATTGACATTCAAAATTTTAATTATGTATTTATATATGATGAAAAAGGGTATAATTTTTTAGAATTTAGTATATAATAGCATTAAAAATTACTGAGCTCTAGCTATCCAATGGAATTTAAATATTATAGTAATTTGTTGCCTTCAATCATTAAAAAATAAGCAAGTTTTTTAATATAATGTAGATATATACATATAAGCTTTTTATATAAGAAAGCTTTTATGTATATATGAATATATATAAACTTGCTTTAACAGAAATTTTACTTTATTTTTTCTTATTCTTATAATATCATTACATTTCCCTCAAAGAATTTTATCCCAAAGTAAAAAATATATAAGCTTTAAAATTTTTTGCTCATTATAAACACTTACAACAAAAATACTTTAATTTTTAAAATTTCTTGTGCCTACCAAAGTCAAAATATTTAACCATTTTTCTCTGAATTGAGTTAGCATCTATGATTATTATTAGTATATAATAGATGAAAAGTCTGTATTTTGAATCTTGATAAAATTAATTTTACCTGATATATATGTAAATGTAGCACTTTTCTCCTTTTGCAAATAATTATTTTTGTTGGTGTGAAGTAGGCATCTACCTTTATTTTTTCTAATATAATAACTTTATTATAAAGATGTAGATGAGTTAAAAATAATAGGATTGAAAAACATATTATGTAAACATTTTTTAAAAGGAGGAAGAGAAGGTGGCATATGAGGGGTTATATTACTACATAACTCAGTCTTCAGAACAGAATACTATGGAGGACAGTATGGAGAAAGAAATTATATAATTAAAAGATCAATTAAACAAGATGATATAACAATCTTAAATATGTATGTATCCAGCAACAGAGTTTCAAAATGCATGAAAAAAACCAGAAATGAAAGGGAAAAAATAGGCAAATCCACAACTATACTCGAAGACTTCAACATCCCTTGCTCAGTAATCTGTAGAACAAGTAGATGAAAAATCATCAGGGACATACAAGACCTAAACAACAAACAAATTAACCTAATTGATAATTTTAGAGCACTCTCCCCTTTGATAGCAGAATACATATTCTTTTCAATGGAACACATAGAAAGCATTTGCCAAGAAAAATCATGTTCTGGGTCATGGAACATATATTAACAAATGTCAAATAATTGAAATAATAAAAAGTATATATTTTCTATAAAAAATTTTACTAGAAATCCAATAACAAAATGATGTCTGACAATAACAAGTGCTAGTAAGAATAGAGAATAACTAGAACTGCATTCATAACTGGTGGAAATGTACAATGATAGAACCCTTTTAGAAAATAGTTTGGCATTTTCTTCTAAAGTTTTCAATATACACTTAACCATAAGAACAAGAATCTCACATGTACATATTTACTCAAGAAAAATAAAAACTTATGTTTACATATAAACTGATATGCAAATACATCATGAATTTTTCCACCCATGTCATTCAACTGATGAATGCATAAATAAATAATAGAATACTCTCTGCATTAAAAAAGAACAACTGATTCATGCAAGGAGATGGAGAAATCACAAACGTATGATGCAAAGTGAAGGGAGCCAGACTGAAAAGGCTACCTAGTTCAATTTCATTGACTGGCATGTCAATGAAAGGGAAAAGTTTAGAACTAGTTTTGGAGCAGTCCTTGCAAGGAGTTGAAGATAACTTACAAAAAAAACATCAAAAATGAATTTTAGGCAGTGATAGAACTGATCTTTGTCTTAATTGTGGAGATAGTTTACTTGTCTACATTACATCTAAACTCAGTTTGTGTGTATGTTTTGTTGTTTTTGTTTTTTGGTAGTGAGGATTGAACCCAGCGGTGCTTAACCACTGAGCCACATCACTAGCCCCTATTTTTAAATATTTTATTTAGAGACAGGGTCTCACTGAATTGCTAAGTGCCTTGCTAAGTTTGCTGAGGCTGGCTTTGAACTCGAGATCCTCCTGTCTCAGCCTCCCAATCTGCTGGGATTATAGGAGTGAGCCATGTACCTGGCTAAACTCAGTTTTATCATATGTATGTATATCATACAAATTTATGCAATTCATTTTTTGTAAGTTTTTAAAAAACATTTTTTAGTTGCAGATAGACACAACATCTTTTATTTATTTATTTATTTTTATGTGGTGCTGAGGACCGAACGCAATGCCTCCATATGTCAGAGGCAAGTGCTCTACCACTGAGCTATATATAACCCAGCCCCTGTTTGTAAATTTTAAAAAGTAAATTCTAATATTTTTAAAAATTCTGATATAATGACTTCTCAGGTCACTTAAGAAGTGTTTTTTCCCCATGTTTTCTGCCATGGTCATTCATCAAAATATCAATCAAAACCAATTAAGCCTTGTTTATTAAATCTGGGTTATTTGTGACAGGAGAGGCATCGCCAAGCATCAAAAGCCAGTGTTAATCCAAAAGCACATTTTGAGCTTTTCTTTACAACCTCTGGACTGAGACTCGAAACCTCTTTCCAAAACAGCCAGAGAGGCTTGATTAAGTTTCAGCAACATTTCCAGACCTCCCAAGGTGGAGCCATTAATAATTAGTGAAATGGCCCAAAAAATAATGCACTGGAAGGAATATGATTTCAAAAAATCTGCTGTGACATAAATTTCCAAATGATTGAGAATTGAATAAAAAACCCATATCTCCACCTTCCCTGCCTCACATCCTACCATAGCTCTGAAGCAGCAATCAAATCTGCACCAATGATCTCGTGATAGCAGCCCTGAAGAGGTCAGGGTGAGGCTGGTTGGGTCTAGAGTGTCAACTGGCACCTATAAATCTACACAGTCAGTCAAGACTATCTGTACTCAGAGCCTCTGACAACCAGTCTGGTTTAGACTTGTTCCCAAGAAGCACTGGTGATTATTTTTATCTCTTAATGTTATAGTTTAACTAATTCACTAATGATTAAGACAATTTTAAAGGCTGAGCAACTAAATGGCTGGTGCATTTTAGTTAACATGCAAAGGATGTCAGCTGCCTGCAGTTAGCTAATAATGCATTATAATTAATAATACTTGGGCAAAGTGTCCTGTCAGCAGGAGCCCTAAGGTTGTTTTCCTAATGCACCAAGATGATCTCCACCAGACCTCTTCTGTTTCATTAAATAAGTAGCTGGTGCTGTTCCTACTCTGATTCTTTTAATTCTAAAAGTAATTTAGGTCCTAATTCCCAAAACTCACAGCACTTGCTTTCAATAGCATTTTCTTGTATTGACTGACATGTGGGATGCTGTGATGATAAAAGCAAATAAACCTGTTCTTATTTACTCATTCCTCAATTCTACCTTACAAAAGCACATCTATCTCAGTGGAAGGGCCTCAGCAAGCAAGAACCCAGGGAAGTCAGGACAATGATGCATCCACCCCAGTATAGATTCCTTCATTTGCTTGTGTGTGTGTGCGTGTGTGTGTGTGTGTGTGTGTGTGTGTACATATGTTTTTCTTATGTATAGGATCTGCACTGTCCAATTATTAATTGGTGCTAAAGTGCCTATTTTGCACAGAGGGAAACTAATCTTATATGCTTTAATTAGAATCATCTAATGCAACTTTGATGGAATATGAAACAGATGATGATGGTTTCCAAGAGCAAAGCAGTTGAGTCAGAGCCAAATTACATAATAGCATAACAGTAGTATAACAGCATGGCCAAAGACCTAGCCTCTCCTCCCATATCATTATTATTGTCAGATAAGAACACATATAAATGTTTTTCGAAATTCAGTACTCATCCTCAAATTCACCTGTCCATCTCTGTCATCCTCCTTTGCCCATTCCATGAGCCAGGGGAAGGAGCAAGAGAGAGATGAACGAGGAACACGTCCCTCACTCACTACTTCCTGGGTGGTGAAAGTGTCTAAATGATGTACACTTGGAACTACCAAAAGAAAAAATGAAAATGAGCTGTGTAAACTGTGCAATAAGAACCATAGTCCTACTGGTTCTCCAATTGTATAAAATGTCAATTTTTATGATGTTAGAAATTAGATGCCAAGGAAATTTTTACTTTGGCACTAGATCCCCTGGTGGAGAATCTAGTT